CCCCCACCAATGTCACATCCTTCCCCAGAGGTATGGTTATATCCTTCTAATGCTTTTTCTATACTTAATCACACACACACACACACACACACACTGACTAGGTCACAGCACACATAGTGTTATGCATCTTCTGTTTATTATAGCCATCTCTCCATGTCCATGCATATAAATCAACCTCACCCTTTGTAAATTGTACTAGAGGCCCAGTGCACAAAATTTGTGCATGGGGGGGGGTGTCTTTCAGCCCAGCCTGCACCCTCTCCAATCCGGGACATCCCTCTCACAATCTGGGACCGTTGGCTCCTAACTGCTCACCTGCCTGCCTACCTGATTGCCCCTAACTGCCACCCCTACCAGCCTAATCACCCCTAACTGCCTCTGGCTGCCAATCTGGTTGCCCCCAATTGCCTCCCTCTGCCAGCCAGGTCCCCCTGCAGCCTGCTGTTCAGTCATTTGGTCATCCCTCACTTACCTCCCTGCTGGCCTTGTCACCCCACCAGCCTGCTATTCGGTCATCTGTCCAGTTGTTGCAGTTGTAACTGCCCCTGGCTTTTTATAAATTGGGATAGTATTACATTAAATTCTCATCTGTTTTTGTTGATTAACCATTCTTGGATTTTCAAAGTACATGATCACAGCATCTGTCATATGTAAAGAAAGAAAACTTAATTTTATAGTCTTTTTGCAGCAGCTGGAGTGTTGAATGATTCAAAACAGTGTCGAGTGATTATAGTGACAGAAAAAAGCCTATGTCTTTAACTCTAACAATAACGTCTTTAATGTACATTTTAATGTTATCTGTAGAGTTCTGATTTCTTTATCATGTTAATAAAGTGCCTTTGAATACTAATAGTTTGTTTTTTAATCAATGACATGTTGGCATTTATTGCAACAATAATAATCCTTTTCTCTTGAGACATTGATAAACTTAATTGTATTACTAGATTGCCTAATATTAAACTATTTTTGTACTCATGGTTCTGGTGGATTCTTTTTTTAATATTATACTAACTTAAATTTAAAAATGTTTCTATTAAGACTTCTCTTACATGAGCTCGTGGTTGGCCTAGTTTTTCTTCTTTTTTCTTTGTTGATTAGTTTCTTTCTGAAGCTCTGCCTTCAGCTTCCTTCCAAACATCCTTCCGATTCTCCAGAGCACAGCACACACTGGTGTGATGCTCCTCAAATTAGTTACCTCTTCCCGGGGACACAGCTGAACGACATCCCAGCCCCTGGCGTGTGGCTGTTCCCCCCAGAGGCCAGGGCACAAGAGCGGTGCTGAGTTTGTTCACAGCAGGAGGGCCTTTCTCCCCCTTTCTCTCTCTTCTCCCTTCCAGCGCGCCATGGGGGCATGGAGCTGCAGAATGAAAAGGCTCAGACCCTTCACTGCTTGGAAGAAAAGCTCCCAGGAGAAGCACCCCACCAGGAAAACTCATACTGGAACTTGTTAGCTGCTTATTACAGACCTAATACAACACAATACATACAATACAATACAATACAATACAATACAATACAATACAATACAATACAATACAATACAATACCCAGGCCATCTTGAAACATAGCTCTGTGCCACATAACTACAGTTGGGTTAAGGGGAGACCACATACACACAGTGACGCTTCAGCAGAAGCTTTCGCAGACTTCAAGCTCCATAAAAAGTTTGAAAACATGGACCCCAACATTGTAAGGCTTTAATTAATAGAGAAGCCTGTTCACGGTGTATTATCTGCTTGTAAGCAAATCCATGATGGAGAAAAAGGAAATGAACCAAGCAAACAACCTTAGACATATTTCTGAGAGGGGTGATACCTCAGGAAGGGCCGGGCAGGTCCTTCAGGGGTGTTCCAGGGGAAGGCATTGTCATAGGCGAGGGGGGCCCCACACGTGGTCCCTGGAGACCCGGTGGGGTCCCCATGTGGATGGAAGACACTGATATTGATGATCCGGACCCTTTATGGGGCTAAACTAATATGTGTGTGTCTTCATTTTTAACAAAAATATTTAAAAAGTAAAAAAAAAAAGTTTCAGTGGACTAAAAGCTGACAGCATAAGGACATAAAGAGGACATTTTTGCATAGCTGCACAATGTGTTGGTGCTTTAAGCTTTCGATAAGTGTCATCACAAAAGAGTTGACTGTTTTAAAGTTTATAAAGTAAAGAAGATACAGCAAGCAAAGGCTGATTTATTATTAAAGGAAGAGAGGTGTTTCCATAGACGTGGTGTGGCTAACGCACGGTGTTAGACAGTCTGCAGCCGTGGGCCGTGTGTCCCAGCTCTTCACATCCACTCACCGCTCCCTCACCGCCTCCCCGGAGCAACTTCCAGGCCTGCAGGCGCCCCCTCCCGGCCCACCGTTTCTCACCTTTTACGCCACATTTTCACTGTGCCGTTGCCATGTTGTTTGTATGTTTAGATACACGAATGCCATTGTGTTGCAAGTGCCCAGAGCTTTGGTCGGCAAACTCATTAGTCCACAGAGCCAAATATCAACAGTACAAGGATTGACATTTCTTTGGAGAGCCAAAGTTTTAAACTTAAGCTTCTTCTAATGCCACTTCTTCAACATAGACTCGCCCAGGCCGTGGTATTTTGTGGAAGAGCCACACTCAAGGGGCCAAAGAGCCGCATGCGGCTCGAGAGCCGCAGTTGCCCGATCACTGGCCTAGAGTATCCAGTTCAGCCACACACTGTACAGGTTTGCAGCCTGGGAGCAATAAGCTGTCTCACATGGGTGTGCAGTAGGTGATACACACGAGGTTTCTGTTCACACACTATGGTGTAAGCACAACGACAGACTTGCCTAATGATGATGCATTTCTCAGAACATATCCCCGTCCTTAAGTGACACATGGCTGCATTTAAAATAACGTATCTGCAAGATTCCACATATGTGAAATAGAATATAAAAGATAAAAAGCAGTTTTCTCATACCCAGCACTCTACGTGCTGGTCTGTATGGGAGAATAATATTTATATTGATCTAATATTTTTTCCTGATATTTTCTCCTCCCCCTTTACAAGCTGATAATTGTCTCAGAGGGAGACAATTGTCTCAGAGAAGAGACAGAAAGCAGAAACTATTCTGCCTATTGGTTTCCAACCACCTACATCCATTAGGAGATTTTGCTAGATGTCTCAGAGGCCAATGAACAGATAGAAAAGGAGGAAGGGAGCCCTAGCCGGTTTGGCTCAGTGGATAGTGTCAGCCAGAGGACTGAAGGGTCCCAGGTTTGATTCCCGTCAAGGGCATGTACCTGGGTTGCAGGCTCGGTCTCAGGCCCCAGTTGGGATGCATGCAGGAGGCAACCAATTGATGTTTCTCTCTCTGTGTCCCTCCCCTGTCTTCCACTCTAAAAATCAATGGAGAAATATCCTCGGGGGAGGATTAACAACAACAAAAATAAATAAAAAAGAAAATGAAAATGAAGCGGGAGAGAGCAGGAGGGAGAGGGATGGGAGAGCACAGTGAGTCTCAGTCAGCCCTGATCTTGCTGGGTATCCCTGGGAAGACCATGAGACCCCAAAAAAGGATGGCGGTGGGTGATAAAGACTCTGATGACTCTCACGCAAGGTACAGAGGAAGCGGCAGAAAGAGCCCCAGCTGTGAGGGGTACACAGGCCGAGGAGGATGTCTTGCTGCCTGCATCTGGCCCTGGCCCAGCTAATGCCATAGATGCAACCAAGGATGTGCCTGTGTGTGCCAGGCACACTGCTGGCTGGAGAACAGAGCCTCCCCCTCAGGGCTGGCATCACCAGGCCTCGAGGAAAAAGGAGGGAAACCCAACACCATTGTGCCAGGATCTAGGTCTAAAAAGACTGGGCGGTGTGACTTGGGGAGGCTGAGGTTTGGGGCGAGATTGGCGGCGCCCCCCACCAGTCTCCTCCTCCCAGGCCAGGATTGAGGGGGGGGAACGGCCGGGAGGGGGCGCCAGAGGACAGACAATGCTGGGGGAATGGGCTGGCTGAGCAGGGACCTCGCCCCAGACAGAGCCCCCCACACACCGAGGCTGCCCCCGGGGGTGCAGAGGGTGCAGAGCGGGGCCCCTGCAGGCGGGCAGGGGCACCCGGGCCCGCACCTCCCGGCCCCCCTCCCACGCGGGCTCTCACGCTTCCACGCTGCCCCTCGGGCCAGATGAGCTCCGATGGGGTCAAGAAAGGCAGCCGCCACACAGCAAACACACCCATAGGGGACGTCTGCGGTGCCTGGGGCGGCGGTCTTCTTATTTTAATATCCCGCCAACCGCAAAAGAAGGGTCTGGCCGAAACCGGTTTGGCTCAGTGGATAGAGGTTCGATTCCGGTCTAGGGCATGTACCTTGGCTGCGGGCATATCCCCAGTGCGGGGTGTGCAAGAGGCAGCTAGTCAATGACTCTCTCCCATCGATGTTTCTAACTCTCTATCTCTCTCCCTTCCTCTCTGTACAAAATCAATAAAATATATTTTAAGAAAAAAAAAAAAGGGTCCGTTCCCCTCCGGACCCGTTGCCCGGGCCGCATTCCCGCCCCCGGGGAGGGAGGCCTCTGCAGCCCCCCTCTGTCTGTCCCCCACCAGCCCCGGGGAGGGGAGGGGGGCTCAGGGCGGAGCGCCCTCCCGCGGACACCCCTGGACCGAACCCCGTTCCCTTCCTCCCGCCTGGACGCCAGCATCTGTCAGCCCAGCTTCTCCCCAAAGTCCCTGCAGGTGAACGCGGGTGCAGAGCGGCCCGGCCAGGAGGGCAGGGGCCAGAGGTCAGAGGGCGCCGCCGGCCCCACCTGTGGTCCACGGAACCCGCGGCGCCCGTTGCTAGGCAACCAGGTCTCCGGTGGCTGCTGCTCTCAGCCTCCAGCCGTTTCCCGTTCCCCGGGCGCCTCTCAGACTCCCGCCCTCTGGACCCCGAGAAGCAGGCCCAAAGGAGAAGCGAGAGCCCGCTGCGCCCGAGCTCCCTGCGGCTCCACCACCCAACCCCTCTTTTCCCGCGGAGGCTGGGCTGCTCGGGCCTGAGACCGCCGCCACCATGAGTCTGGGCATCATGGAGGAGGAGGACCTGGCCGAGTACTTCCGGCTGCAGTATGGGGAGCGGCTGCTCCACCTGCTCCAGTGAGTGCCCCCCGGGGCCTGGGCCAGGGCCTCCCATTCCCACCCCTCCTTCTCCTATGACCTAGGGACCCAAATCGTCCTGCCCCCTCCCCTGGCACCAATCCACCCCCATCACCGGATCCCCACGCCTCACTCATCACCCTGCTTCACCTTGCTCCTTGGACTTCCACTCAGCACACTCAGAGGGGGCAGGGCTCCCTCCCCTCCCCATGGCTATCTGGCTTACTCCCAGTCCAGCCCGACCCAGCCCCTCTGGCCCATGTCTGGGACAGGAAATTCCCCCACATTGAGGAGCAGTCGGACTCCCCATCTATCCAGCTCCTGGAGAAGAAGAAGGAGGCCAAGATCATGCACCATGCTATGTTGCATAAGAAGGAGGTGGGAGACGGGGGGAGGGGTGCAGAGGCCACCGGGACAGCCCTTCATTTTGGGGGTGGCTTTGGCTAACGCCAGGCCTCCTGGACGGTGGTTCTGTGTCGCCTCTGCAGACACAGAAACAATCCCAGGCTTGGGGGGGGGGGGTGCCCGTGTCCCCGGATGCTCTGCTCTGAGCCAGGCATGGGGTGGAAAGTGGGGGGGAGGGAGCTTGGGGAGGGAGGCACTTGGGCAGAGGACACTGGGGCTTCCCTTGGTTCTCATGCCAGAGGCCCTCCTGACCGTCCTGCTCCCTGCACCCCAAGACATTTCAGCGGAGAATGGAAACTCTGAACCTGCGCTGGGAGGAGCTGGGCGTCAAGGAGGCCCAGCTGAAGGCCCACATTCAGAAGTTCGAACAGTTCATCCAGGTATTGGGGTGAACTGTGACACCCACACTCCGGTCCCCTCCCCCAAGCCCTGCCTCTCCTCCTCCTCGCATTGGCTGACTCCTCACCCGGGTCAGATGTCTCTCGGTGCTCAACAATGCCTGGGGCTCCTCCCTTTAGGTCCCCCCTTATTGCTGTTGGTGATTTCTTGTTTGTCTGTCGGTCTCTGCTCCTTCTAGGTATCTGTTTACCATTTCCTTTCCCATACCTGGCACACCTGATGCATCGAATGAATGAATGGATGGATGAATGCACTAGGGGCAGGGCGAGGCACTTGGAGACACAAAGATGAATCAGGCAGAATTTTAGTCTCCCCAGTCACCCCATCCTTCCCTCCTGGCACTGTGGGTGCAGGGAGGGGGCGGTGGAAGGACCAGGCACCAGAGTCCGCACTGAGGCCACGCCTCTCCATGGGTCCTTGGAGGAGCGATGTCACCACTTTAAAATCCAGATTTCTCCAAGAAGGAATCTGGGGAGTCCTGCTCTGGAGCCCTCCGGTGGTGCTCTGGGCCTCAGCCAGGTGGGGGAGGGAGCGGAGGGACCAGGCTTAGTCTCCAACGGTGCACTTCCTCTTACGGACCAGAGGAGAGTGCGTGGAGTGGCTGGGGCAGCAGGAAATGTGGGGGACAGGGTTCTCTGAAGGGTCACCATTGGCGTCACTTATTCCAAATGCAGACCCCGGTACCCCCCTCCCCTTGCTCTCAGAGGCCCCAGGCCGGGCCCAGGCAGCCACATGTGTAAGAAGTCCCTCCGGGGGTTGAGGTGCACAGAGGGACTTGAAAACCACTGGGTTAGGGCTTCCAGTCTTCTCCTCGGTTGGCAGGGACAGGCCAGTCCCCTGTGTCCTCCCCACGTGCCTCCAAAGGCTCCCGCACACACGCCCTCCGTGTGGGACCCAGGGAAAGGAGCCACACGCGTGCCCTGGGAGGGGCGGGCTCGCCCTCTGATCTCGGGGGGAGGGCTTTGCAGGAGGCAGCAGGGGGGCCGGCCCGGATTGCAGTGGCTGAGGGTCCTGTCTGTTTCTGGGCCTGGAATTGTGCGCACATCTCCGCCTGCCTGAGCCTGATGCCAGTGGGAGCTCCTGGCTGCATGCTCTCCGGCATGGCCTTGCCCCAGGCCCTCTGGAACAGGCTCCCCTCCCCACCCCCACCCCCAAGCTCATTTCCCTATGGCTTGAGCACTGTTGCCCCAGCTTTGGGGAGGAGGAGAGGAACTACTGCCTCTCATTTCTACAGTGGGAGAAACTGAGGCACCAAATACCCAATCGGGAGAAAACTCAGGCCTTCTTGCCACCTGGATGGTCCCTGCAAACAGAGGCCCCGGGGGAGGGAGGGTACCACCAGCTGGGCTCCAGGGAAGGGCAGGAGGGTGCCTGGCAGACACCACCTCCCTGGCCCCAGGAGAACGACCAGAAACGGATCCGCGCCCTGAAGAAAGCCAACAAGGAGAGAGACCTCAAGAGGCAGCGCATGCGTGAGCTGGCCAAGGCCAAGCAGGAGATGGCGGCCCTGCGGCTGCAGCACCAGCGGCTGAGTGCCAAGCTGCAGAACTACTCCATCTTCAACAAGTACCTGGAGAAGGTGGTGGAGAACTCCGAGGTGAGTGGGGGTCGGAGGGGTGCCTTCCTCGGCCCCACCTCCCCGGCCTGGGCCTGGGGCTACAGGGGGCGTAGGGACCCTCTGCAGGGACGCCCACCCTTCTCTGAGGGCAGCTGGGAAAGGCCCTGGTCGGGGCGGGGTGGGGCTGGGCGCTGTACCTCGGTGTCTGCACAAGTGACAGCTGCGGCCATGCCTGTATGGGGTGTGCGTGGGGAAGGAGGTTCCTTTAGTGGCGCAGAGGGAAGCTTTGCCTGCGTCAGGATGTGGCCTCCTCCCCCCTCCCACACCCCCCGAGTCCCCTCCTCCCCGGTGTTTTGTTCGCTTGAGAGGAAGGGAGAGAAGCTGAAAACACCCACCCTGAGGCAGGGAGCTCAGTGTGTGTGCCGGGCATACGGGTGACTTCCTTCGGCTCACTCCCCACCCTGAGGGGGACGCGGAGGCTCAGAGAGGGAGCCGCTCAGGGCCTCACAGCCGGCCCCTGGCTGAGCGCTGGCTTCTAACCGCCCCTCTGCGGGCCCCGCAGGGCACTGACCACTGTTCTTCCCGCAGCCGCCTCGCTGCCAGAGCGACAGGCACTGCCCGCCCTCTCCCCGCCCATGCACCCCGCAGTCCGGCTGACCTCGCCCACAGGGCTGTGGACTGTGCAGAGCCACGTACGTGTGACGGTTTCAGTGGACAATCTGAAAAGGCTCAGACGAGCCAGGCAGCCTGAAACCGTGGCGTGCACTTGCAGTATCGATTAGTAGAGTACAGCGCTATACATGTATTTTCTCATTTTTTTTTTTTTAGCAATACTCTAACACAGTATACAATACCCATCACATGCAACATACGTGCAATCGACTGTTCATGACATCAGTAGGCTTCCGGTCAGCAGCAGGCTGGCGGTGGTGGCGTTTCGGGGAGTCAGAGGCTGTGTGTGGTTTTCCCCTGCACGGGCGTCGCCCCCCTCAGCCCCGCATTGTTCGAGGGCAGCAGATCCGACAGTGTGGACCCGCCTCCTTTCAGCCTACCTTCGCCCTTTCCTCTGGGCCCTCCTTCCCTCCCGCTGTCCTCCTCCCTCCGGCCCTTCCCCCTCAGGCTCCTCTGGGGCTCCCCTCGCCAGCTCCTTCCTGGCACCTGCCTCAGGTCTCTGGCCCGCCCTCCACTTCTCTCCCTAATCCTCCCTGGGCCTCCCGTGGGGCCGCCCTGGCAGTGGCTCTCCACGCTGTCTCCCGTGTGACAGCAGGAGGTAGGACCCCCAGGGGGCAGAGTGAGGTCTGAGATGCCCTCCGTGTGGATGGATGCCCTGTGGCGGCTGCGGAGAGACGAAGGAAGCCATGAGGAGAGGGGCCTGTCTCCCTGTCCAGCCTCCCTCCGGAGTGCAGGCCCCTGCATCTAATTTATCGTGTCTACGACTCAGCTCATCTGCTTCCTGCCATCCCCAGCCAGTCCCTGCTGGTGTGTCTGGTACTGGTGCATGGCCTGAACACCCACAGCCTCCACCCACAGCCTCCACCCACAGCCTCCCTCCCACAGCCTCCACCCACAGCCTCCCACCCACAGCCTCCACCCACAGCCTCCACCCACAGCCTCCCACCCACAGCCTCCACCCACAGCCTCCACCCACAGCCTCCCTCCCACAGCCTCCCTCCCACAGCCTCCACCCACAGCCTCCCACCCACAGCCTCCACCCACAGCCTCCCTCCCACAGCCTCCCTCCCACAGCCTCCCTCCCACAGCCTCCCACCCATAGCCTCTACCCACAGCCTCCACCCACAGCCTCCCACTCAGCCTCCCACCCACAGCCTCCACCCACAGCCTCCCACCCACAGCCTCCACCCACAGCCTCCCTCCCACAGCCTCCCTCCCACAGCCTCCCTCCCACAGCCTCCCACCCACAGCCTCCACCCACAGCCTCCACCCACAGCCTCCACCCACAGCCTCCCACTCAGCCTCCCACCCACAGCCTCCACCCACAGCCTCCCACCCACAGCCTCCACCCACAGCCTCCACCCACAGCCTCCACCCACAGCCTCCCTCCCACAGCCTCCCTCCCACAGCCTCCCTCCCACAGCCTCCCACCCATAGCCTCTACCCACAGCCTCCACCCACAGCCTCCACCCACAGCCTCCCTCCCACAGCCTCCCACTCAGCCTCCCACCCACAGCCTCTACCCATAGCCTCCACCCACAGCCTCCACCCACAGCCTCCCACTCAGCCTCCCTCCCACAGCCTCCCACCCACAGCCTCCACCCACAGCCTCCACCCACAGCCTCCCACTCAGCCTCCCACCCACAACCTCCACCCACGGTCTCCCACTCACACCCTCCCACTCACAGCCTCCACCTACAGCCTCCACTCACAGCCTCCACCCACAGCCTCTACCCACAGCTTCACCAGAACTTGAGCCTCATCCTCGACTCTTTCTCCTCCTCATTCCCCGGAGCCATCAGTCAGAGCCCTGGTCTGATCTGCCTCCTAAGACTAAGTGTTTCTGGAATCTGGTCCCTGCGCTTCCTCACCCAGACCACAGTGTGCCTCACTTGGAGCTCACGTTTGTATTTTCCCTGGCCACCATCCTGTCCCTTCTACAGCCAGTGCCCCTACCTCTGATTCTTTCTCTCTCTCCTTCTTTCAAAAACATTTTAAGCATACTGAAAAGTATAGAGAAATATAAAACAGCACCCAGGTACTCGCCACAGCTTTGTCAAATCTTAATATTTCCCCCTAATTCTTTTTTCCCTAATAAAACACTGTAGGCGATGATGTGCGCCCTCCCACACCCATGCTTCCCCCCTCTCCTGAGAGGTCACCGGGTCTCCCGATTTCCTCATTTCTCATTCACGTGTTTGTTTTCATTGCTTTGGCAACATACTACATACCCATCAACCGCTAATCTATTATAAATGTCCTTTTGTGACTTCTTTTTCCCATCAATATTTTAAACCCTTTTTATTATGTAAAATTTCGAACAAATGCAAAAATAGACAGAACAGTCTATTGACTATCCATTACTCATCACCTAATTCCAGCAATTATCAACTCATAGTCAAATCCCCCGAACCTCCCACCTCTGCCATTTTTAAGCAAATTTTTTTTATCCATAAGTATTTCTGTCTGCAACTCTAATAAAGAAGAGCTTTTTTAAATGTAGTCCCAATGCCATTGTCACACCTAGGGAAATGTGTTAGTAATTCCTTGATGTTAAATATCCAGTTGATGTTAAAAATCCCCCCCCCCCTCCTTATTGCACAAATGCTGTTTGGACCGTTGGTTTGTTCTAACCAGGGCCCAAACAAGGTCCCTACGCTGCATTTGGTGGGTATGTTTCTCGAGTCACAGGCATTATGACGATGACCAAAATAAGCCAAACCTGAAAGAGGACATATTGCGGAATGCCACTGATGTGTTTAAAAACAGGTAATGATGCGTCTTCGATGACAGAAGTCACAATTCTGATTTACTTGGTAGGAGGGGCAGAAGACCCCTCTAAGGAAATGTCCTATCGGCCCTTCTTCACATGGAACTAGAATCCTGCCTTAAAGGAAAGGACTCCTGAGAGCAGTGGTTCTCACCCTTTCTAAGGCCTCGACCCTTTAATACGGTTCCTCATGTTGGGGTGACCTCCAACCATAAAATTATTTTTGTTGCTACTTCATCACTGTAATTTTGCTACTGTTACGAATCGTAATATAAATATCTGTGTTTTCCGATGGTCTTAGGTGACCCTGCTAGCGGTTCTCAACCTGTGGGCCGTGACCTGTAGAGCCCAAGACCAGCCTAAGTAGCAACGAAAATAATTTACATAAATTACAGTGATGAAGTAGCAACGAAAATAATGTTATGGTTGGGGGTCACCACAACACGAGGGAGCTGTATTAAAGGGTCGCGGCATTAGGAAGGTTGAGAACCACTGCTCTAAGGAGTCCTTTCCTTTACGGCAGGATTCTAGTTACAGGTGAAGAGGAACCACTGCCTGAGAGAGAACCTTCCCTTCGTCAACCGCTTGGTCCCTGTGTGGGTCTTAAAGAAGCTACCCAAATGCTCGATTCTTTTCAGAACAGCGCGCTGGTTCTCCAGCATCCTCCAAAAGCGACCTGAGCTGCTGTTATCATCATTACAAGCTCACGGGTTTTTAACACGTTTGATGTTTTAACACTTCGCACCTTTTCTTCCTGATGTTCCAAGCGTCCCATCCTTGGACAGTGGGAGCCTCTTCAGGTTGGCGACGAGTCCTTCTGCCATCAACACCGAGTTTGGAGAGCTGCTCCTGGTAGCTCGGCGTGGCCCATTCCTTTCAACTTGTGTGCTGTGCACCGTGTGCTGGGTGAACTTCAACACACAGACATAACGTTCTCTCTCCCTGATCTGTCCGTGGGTGAAGTTCACCCTCCTCAGGGTTCTCCGGGCACTTTTTTTATTTCTCCAGGTGACCTCTCCCTCCCCATCTTGAACTCGGGTCATTCATACTAAAAAACGTTCTTGAGCTTCCTGAACGTGCCACACACACCCATGATCTTTCACCAGGCTCTTCCCTCTACCTGTGATCCTTCCACACCTCTCCTCCCCAAACCCACCACCATCCCCACCCCGTACCTTTGCCTGGCTGTCTTCTGTTCATACCTCCGCTCTCATTTCAGGCATCCTTTCCCCGAGGAAACCTTTTCGGTTCCCGTCTCCCCTGATGCTGGGCTGGGTGGCCCTTGCCTAAAGACACCCTTGAGGAAAGGCCAGCAGGGCAGACCCCAGACACCAGTCTATCCCTGGACATGCCATGCGATGGACAAAGTGCTCAGGCAGTGTCCCCTGGGTGGCCGGAGAGCTCACTCTGATATATGCGTGGGGAGGGGAGTTGGCACCCGGGACTGGTGCTCACACCGCCGTCATCCCTTCTGCTGAGCAGGACCAGCGTGGCATGGCTCTGGACCAGAGGAGGCAGCAGAGCCTGGCAGGCCTGCTGATCTGCTGGTACCCTCTGCAGCCCCCCTCTGCCGGAGGGCAGGCTCAGCAGATGCGGACTACCAGAGAGTGCTGCATTGAAGGCATTACCCTCACAGTCCGTCCTGCCCCACCCCCCAGCCAGATAAGGCTTATCGCTCTGCTGTAACTGACTACCTACTTGTCTGTTTTGCCTCCACACCACCCCAAATCACAGGCTTTATGGGAGCAGGGTCTGTCTGGCTTATCTCCTGCTCTGTCCCCAGCAGTCAGCGAAGTTCCTGGGTTGTGGTGGTTCTCGGTGCATTCCTGGTGAATAGAATCATCATCGCCTTGGGAAACATCTCAAAACGCACCCTCCCCCTCGCACAGATATGAAGTTCTCTCTCTGCGTCTCAAAATCCTTCGGGGGTGAAACCCGCGCCCCTCCCAGGGCTCCCTGGGCACTGCTTTCACTTCTCCAGGGGACGTCTCCCTCCCCTTCTTGATCTCAAGTCATCCATGCTAATCTTTCTTGAGCTTCCTGAACACACCGTCATCTTTCCCCGGCTGTTCCCTGTAGCAATTTGCAACCCTAAAATCACCTGGGAGGGGGAAGGGATCGAAGGGGAGTTGCAAAATTCAGATGCCACGGTCCACTTCAGACCTGTTTATTCATCCCAATCTCTGGGGCTGGAGCCTGCCAAGTGTCCTTTTTAAAGTTCCTCCCATGATTCCAATGCGCAGCAAGACTGAGAACTCTTGGTCCAGTTGCATGTACTGTTAGGTGACCAGACGTCCCGCTTTGGGCGGGACAGTCCCAATTCTTAACAATTTGTCCCGCATCCCCCGGCGTTTTTTTAAAAAAGTCCCGATCTTTGGAAATGATCTTTTAAATCTTTTGAATTTTTTTATTTTTTATTTTTTATTTTTTTTAAATATATTTTATTGATTTTTTACAGAGAGGAAGGGAGAGAGATAGAGAGCTAGAAACGCCGATGAGAGAGAAACACCGACCAGTTGCCTCTTGCACACCCCCTACCAGGGATTTGCCCGCAACCAACATACATGCTCCTGACCGGAATCGAACCTGGGACCCTTCGGTCCGCAGACCAATGCTCTACCACTGAGCCAAACCGGTTTCAGCTCTTTTGAATTTTTTTTTATTTTATTGATTTTTCACAGAGAGGAAGGGAGAGGGATAGAGAGTCAGAAACGTCAATGAGAGAGAAACATCGACCAGCTGCCTCTTGCACACCCCCTACTGGGGATGTGCCCGCAACCAAGGTACATGCCCTTGACCGGAACTGAACCTGGGACCCTTCAGTCCGCAGACCAATGCTCTACCACTGAGCCAAACCGGTTTCGGCTCTTTTGAATTTTTTTAAAATGCCGCGGGACACCGGACAAATTGTAAAAATCGGGACTGTCCCGCCAAAAGCGGGACGTCCGGTGACCTTCCTGTGGCCCATGGCCCATACCAACCCAAGAGGAATGAGCAGCGGGACTCCAATGTCCTCAGAGCTTCTGCCCCCTGACCTTGGCCTAGGGCCTCTCTGCCAGGCTGGAAGCTGGCGGGTAACGGGCCGCGGTAGGGCCCCGGGACTGCGGGGCTGTGAACAAAGCCCCCGTTGCAGTTCGAGGAGATCCACGAGGTGATGGCGCGGCACAAGACGCTGGTGAGCATGCACCAGGACCTCATGCAGTCTGCGCAGGAGGGCCAGGAGAAGATCGAGCGCGCCAAGGCCCGGCTGGCGCGCTACATGGAGGAGAAGGACGACGAGATCCTGCAGCACAACAACGAGCTGGCGCGCCTGCAGATGCGCTTCGACCGCGCCCGCAGCGACGTCATCATCTGGGTGAGCCACCCGCGGGGCAGGGGCTCAGGGCCAGGGCTGCGGGGTGGGACAGGCACGCGCACACACACACACACACACACACAGGCTGCCCTCACCTCCCTCCCCCATGTCCTCCCCAGGAATCGCGCTGGGCGCACATCCAGAACACCGCCGCCAAGAAGACCCTCTTGCTCGGCACCATCAAGATGGCAACGCTGAACCTCTTCCAGATCGTGAGTAAGCAGCTAAAGGAGACGACCTTCGTGTCCCTGGAGGACACGCACAAACAGCTGGACCTGGTAAGAGGAGGCGCAGGTGTTGGCTGGGCGGTGTCCACTGAACCAGGACGGTGGTGCCTGGCTGGTTGAGTGGAGGAAAGAACTGGATAGAGCCCGGGTTCTCACATGTTAACAGGATTCCTCAGCCCTGGGGTCTGAGGAGTGCTGAAGGGCCCCATCCCAGAGCCTCTGAGTCAGCGGGACTGGAGTGAGAACCCACGAATTTCCATTTTCTTTTTAATCCTCACCCGAGGATGTGTGTGGTTTGTCTTTTTAATTGAACTTGATGACATATTGTGGTGTGTATTTTTTTTATTGATTTTAGAGAGAGAGAGGAAAGGAGAGGAAGAGAGGAAGGGAGAGGAGACAAAGAGAGAGAGAGAGAGAGAGAGAGAGAGAGAGAGAGAGAGAGAGAGAGATCAATGTGAAAGAAAAACATCACCAAACCCAAAATCTGGCTCAGTACCCTGACCAGAATCGAACCCTCAGCTCTTCAGCCCTTCGGTTCACAGAACAGTGCTCCAACCAGCTGAATCACACCAGACAGAGCTGAATTTCCATTTTCAACGATCCCCAGGTTCTGGCCTGGGTTCCACACTTTGAGAACCACGGCATTAGAACTGAGACCCTGTTGGCCCCCATCAACAGGGACAGTAGCAGGGACCCACCACTGGATTCATTGTGCAAAACAGTCTTGTTAGATCCGGTGAGTTCCCGAAGGCTTGTGCCTGAGGCCCACTCTTTGGGAAAAGAGAATGGCGGTGAGGGAGCAGGGAGGACAACCAGCAAGTTTAGGGAAGTCGTAGAGACATATTAGTACCAGACTGAGATTTTCTCTTTGAAAGGAAATAACTTTTCACTGTCTGATCCAAAGCTATTTGATGCCATGTCACGTGCCACCTAAAATCATCTCATTTCTGACCAAAGGTGAACACACCCCATAGGCTAGGAGATTTCATAGCAGCCGATGCATTCACTATGTTTCTTTTTTTTTTTTTTAAATATATTTTATTTATTTTTAACAGAGAGGAAGGGAGAAGGATAGAAAGCTAGAAACATCGATGAGGGAGAAACATTGACCAGCTGCCTCCTGCACACCTCCTACTGGGGATGTGCCCGCAACCAATGTACATGCCCTTGACCAGGATCGAACCTGGGACCTTTCAGTCCACAGACCAATGCTTTATCCACTGAGCCATACCGGTTTCGGCTCACTATGTTTCTTGCAATGTGCAGAAAACCATTCCTTTAAAGCAAACGTCTTCAGCTCCGCTGTGAAGGAGTAGAAAGTAAGCTCTCAAACTGTGATTTTTTGTTTTGTTCCCTACTGTATCCCAGTGTCTAGAACAATGCCAGCCCCATAGTAAGCTTCAACAAGTATTTGGTGAATGAAGATCAAACACAAGCTACAAAAAGCAATTGATTAAGAGGCATTTCCCCTGCTTAACAACAACAAAAAGGTGAAAGTCATGAGATGTAAAGGAGTTCACCCACTGACCAGCCAGCAAGAAGGCTTTCCCTAAACCAAAAACTCTGCCTCCCTCTTAAGGCAAGTGAGGGCAGCGTTATGGACGGTCCAAAGACCGTGAAGGGAGTTTGTGAGAAAGTCTGTGCTGAAGCAGCAATTCTCAAACTTTTTGGTACCTGGATACCTTCACACTCTATTTTTTTAAATATATTTTATTGATTTTTTTACAGAGAGGAAGGGAGAGGGATAGAGAGCCAGAAACATCGATGAGAGAGAAACATCAACCAGCTGCCTTCTGCACACCCCCGACTGGGGATGTGCCCGCAACCAATGTACATGCCCTTGACGGGAACCGAACCTGGGACCCTTTAGTCCACAGACCGATGCTCTATCCACTGAGCCAAACTGGTTTCGGCTACCTTCACACTCTTAAAATTTATTGAAGACCTTCAAAGAGCTTCTGTTTATATCAGTCATATCTACTGATACTTACCATATTAAGAAACTCAAACAGAAAAGTTAAAAAATAGTTAATTCATTCATTTTTAAATGACAAGAAGCAAATGAACATAAATAGCTTTTTTAATGAAAAATCCATTTTCCAAAGCTATTTTGTGGGATGAGTGGCGTATTTGACCCTTTCACAAATCCCCTTAGTGTCTGGCTGCATGGAGATCTGTGGCTTCTCGTGGCTGCTTTTGCCTTCGTTCTGTTGTGACAGCCCATGTCACTAAGACATCCTACTCAGGTAAACGCTGCACACTCATGAGAGAATAAGAGCGATAAACACAAATAACGTCTTAGATTAGAAAGAGAGTTTGGGCCTTGCAGCCCTCTCCCCAGCGGCGGGGTCTCAGGCACTCCGGGGGTCCTTGGGCCATCTCCCTTTGGCTGTTGTGAAGACAGGTGGGCAGGGGGCCATGAGCCCAGCTCCTCGCCTCTGCCTGAGCATCCCTGCTCAGAGCCTCGCTTCCAGCTCATCTACTCCAAAACGTGAGCTTTCTGACTCCCTTTCCACCTTGATTTGTCTCCACAGGAATACTTACTATGGCCCAAATGTTCTTTTAAAATATCCCACTTCATCCCCAAAGGATAGGAGCCTACCGAGAGAAACACACACGACCAAGTAGCCGGAACCATTGAAAATAAGGACCAGGAAAAACATACGTTGCAATCCAAGGTCAGGGCAAGAGAGAGAAATAAAGACTGTCGATTCTGGCCTTAGAAAGGGCAGATGTTGAAGCTGAGCTTTCTGGTGACCAAAAGGAAGAGCAACACGCAGCTCTGGTACCAAAATGAGAAAACATACGTTTTCCTCAGAAAAAGGGAGCCTTTCCCAGCTCTTCGTTCTAACTGAAATTCCTCAAGGAGGAGGCTTCTGAGATTCTCAGTGAACAACGTTCTGGACAAATCCCTGCAAGCGATCCAAGCTCGGGCTTCGGGAGCCACTTACACAGAAGCAGGAGCACAGCACACAGCGCAGCCTGCAAACGGCCGAGACCACGGGATTCCACATGCTGCGCGGGGAAAGGGCCAGAGCAGCATCTTCCAAGCTGGGCTCAGACATTTCCTTGGGGGGAAATCAAAGAACTCTATGGACTCATAAATTTTGAAAACCAACTTGCATGGTTTGTAAATATGGGACTCCACAGAGTCCTGAGGCTCTCGAAGGAGATTCAATATAATTTATGTTTAATGTTTCTGGAACTTGCTGGACTACGGAACCCTTTTGGAGGGTGTGTGATTACTTACTGTGAGAACATCGTTTGGGAAACGCCAGGCTCGTCTTCCCTGTCACCTTAGGAAAGTTCCTGTGATTCGCTGACTCTTTGTTTCCTCTTTTGCAAAACAGGCGTCACCTCGGTAATGGTGCTGGTATTAGCTCCTGACAGAGTTGTTGGGAGTTCGGGACAGTCCTATCTCCAGGGACATTCTTGAAAAGGAGAAATGCTAGAACTGAGATCTTAGGGGTCATCTAGGCCCGTGGTTGGCAAACTGCGGCTCACGAGCCAAATGCGGCTCTTTGGCCCCTTGAGTGTGGCTCTTCCACAAAATACCACTGCCAGGGCAGGTCTATGTTGAAGAAGTGGCGTTAGAAGAAGTTTAAGTTTTTAAAAAAATTGGCTCTCCAAAGAAATGTCAATCGTTGTCCTGCTGATATTTGGCTCTGTTCACTAATGAGTTTGCCGCCCACTGGTCTAGGCCAAGCTTTCCTCCCTCTTCCCTTTTTAAAGATGAAGCTCCCGAGTCCCAGAAAGATGAAGTGATTCCCCCAGAGCTGCATGGGGACCCAGGCCTCTAACTTGTTTCCACCGTCGAACTGACCTCATGTTCCTTCAAACAGAAGCCAGCGCCCTAGCCCGTTTGGCTCAGAGGATAGAGCACAGGCCTGCGGACCGAAGGATCCCCAGTTCAATTCGGTCAAGGACACGTACCTCGGTTGCAGGCTTGACCCTGGTCAGGGTGCATGAGGGAGGCAACCAATCAATGTTTCTCTCTGTGTGTGTCTGTCTCTCCCTCTCCTTTCCTCCCTCTCTCTCTCTCTCTAAATAAATAAATAAATAAATAAATAAATAAATAAGTAGGAAAATATCCTGGAGTGAGGATTAACCAAAAAATAAATAGAATAAAACATAAAAAAAAAAAGAAGCCAGCAAAGAGAATCCAAACTTCCCAGGTGACTGGAGATCATTGAGCATAAGGAGCATCAGTTCCGGGTTTCAGGTGAATGACTCCTTCAAGATTATGCCGAGGGGGAGCGCACTCCGCCCCACCCTGCTGGACCTGCCTGCCAAATGCCCCCGTCCCCCCTCCTCTCTCCTGTCACCCTTCAGCCAGATTCCCAGCCTGACTCCCTCCCATCCCCGCCTGCCTCCAGGAGTTCCAGCTCCACGGCTATTAGTGCAGTTAATCTACGAGCCTGGCCCTCCGTGGCCACTAGAATCATTGTCGAATGAGGGAGAGTGGCTGCAGGTGGTCACAGGAACGGGGGGAGGGGTAGATGTGCTGTTTCTGGGTGGCAGCCTGTCGCTGGCAGGATCCCATGGTCCCCTTGCCTTGTCAGATCCAGCAGTTCATCCAGGACCTGTCGGACATCTGGGCAGAGGTGAAGAAGAAGGACCAGGCGCCGCAGCAGATCCGGGTGTAAGGAGCCGCGTGAGCAGAGACGAGAGAGAAGTTCCCAATGAGCTGGCGCTCGGTCCGCCCGGTCCAGCCCTCTGGGACCGGCGCTTTCTGCTGGCTGACACCCTGCCGGGTTTCCCCGCGGGCCTCCGCCCCGCCCTCGCCTGCACACATTAAATTCTATGAGAAGTTTGTTCCTAAGTTCTCGTGTGGGTTATTCACGGGGAAGAGGGCCCGTGGAGGAAAGAACACTCCCCACAAAGCACCCCCCCCCCATGGAATCTGGTCACTAGGCTGCCTGGGGTCTAGACACCGAATCTCAGGTCTCGTCTCCTCAGTGTGGCTTGCACACAGTAGGTATTCATAGGGGCTCGCACACAGTAGGTCTTCAGAAGGCCTCACCTGGGGCTGTTTCCCCTCTACCACTCCAAAGACCATGTGTGAGGTGGGCCTTTCTAAGTGGGGTGCAGCGGCCCACTAGAAGCTATGAAGGCAACTTCCCAAGTCAGAGTTCCAACTCTTCCCTGCTCTCCCACCCGCCGGGAACCCTAAAGCTACAACATGGTATCAGCCACGCTAACAGGAGAGCGGGCTGGACGATGGCTTCTCGCAGCCAAACCAAACGGAGGACGGGCCAACAGGAAGCCTTGCACTCAGCGTCCAAAACTCAGCCGCACGTTTCCAAACCCTCAGCGGACAAAGTCGGGTCAGAGGTGGACAGAGGAAGCGGCACTTACTGAGCATCACTTACTGTCCATCACCCCGGTGGAAACTGTGTCCCCGTCTTCCCTAACAGGCCGCTTGCCCAAGGACCCCAGTCCAGAGGGCAGGGTGGGGACTCACCCTGGGCTGCCTGCCCCCCGCCTGGGCGCCCCCAGCCAGGCTGCCCTTCAGAGGACAGACACTGCCGCTGTCTCCTCCAAAGAAGGCTGAGGAGCCGGCCTGACAGGCTCCTCGCTTCCTCCTTGGCCCTGTGACCCCAGAGGGATCCCCGTGACCCTGGGGGCTGCTGCAGTCTCCCCTCTGGGTCCTGCTCTGGGCTTTGTACACATCGCCATCCATCTCAGCTTGGCTTCTGGACCAGCGGCATCAACAGCACCGGGGAACTCACCAGAAATGAGAATCGGAAACTGGGTGGGCCCCAGCCACCTGGGTTGCTATTTGTTTGTTTTCTGGGAATTGTCACCTGAGGATACTTTTCTATTGATTTTTAGAGGCAGTGGAAGGGAGAGAAGGAGGAGAAAAGAGAGTGGGAGAAATATCTATGTGAGAGAGAGAGAGACATCAGTTGGTTGCCTCCTGCATGTATCCCAGCTGGGCTGAAAAGCTCAACCTACAACCCAAGTAAGTGCCCTTGACTGGGAATCGAACCCGTGACCTTTTAATGCATGGGTCATTGCTCTAACCACTGAGCACACTGGCCATGGCACCATCTGGGTTTTAACAAGTCCTCCAGGTTTGAGAATGTTGCTTTGTAGTGAGCCAAGCACTCTCAGGGACCAGGCTCCTGTCACTTGCACCACGTGAAGCAACACACGTCAGGGACACCCTGTCTCGCCAGCTACAGTCAGAGAAGCGGAGCCACAGGAGACAAACTTCCAGACGGGGCTGGCTGCCAGGGGTATGGGTGCCTGCTGAGCACTCTCTGCAAAGCTGCTGTCTTCACACCTGACGCTGGGCCTTGAAATCCACAAGGGGAGGGAGTTGGGAGAGAAATCTGGGTGTAAAGTGGGGGAGATCCAAAAGGAGCCAGAATCCATTTACACAACCTGGGGACAGACAGAAACCCACGCAGTCCTGGTCATTTCCAAGATCCTACGTGGCCAGGACCCTTCCCCTTGGAGCTGAGCACACACATCGGGCCCTTCAGCATGTCTCCCTGGGCCCTGGACTCACGAAGCCCAAGTCTGACCCCTTCGGGAGAGATTTGGGTCCAAGGAAAAGAAGATAGCATCAGGAGTCCACTGGAGTTGTCCAGCAAGGGAGGACACCAGCTCATTGGAGCAGAAGTAACTGACTGGTTCCGGAAATGAGTCATTCTCATCAGCACAGGCAGCAGGAGGGGTCCGGGTGCTCTCAGGGTCAAGGGCAGCAAGGCCTTCAGGAACACTTCATCCCCCCAAATCCCGTCGCTCTTTCCAGTAGTAAGGAGGAGAGGAAGGGAGGAAGGACGAGGGAGCACGAGGGAGGAGGGGGCCTCCAGGTGTGAAAGGGCTCAGCCTGCAAGCAGCCTGGTACCAGCCAACGCCATGGCTGTCACACACGTCACGCCAGGTACACTGACCCAAAACGGCAACGGATGTTCCAGAGCTGCTGGTGAGAACAGATCCAGAACAAAGAGTTGAGGGCTTCCGGGGGTCTCTCTGGAGTAGCTAAGGGCCCGTGCTCCTGTGGATCAGACCCTCCCTCACTCGATTGGGCCCTGTCAGCCCCTTTCCCACACCACAGGCCTGGGTCCCACATCTTATATACAAGGTTGCTGCCAGCTGAAGGGGCTCTGGAACCTTCCTCTTCTTGGGTTGCTCACTCAGGCACCTGAGCAAGCTGCTGTGCACTGGGACTTCCAATCCAGGAATGTCAGAAGTGCCATGTGTGTACTGCAGGGTGCTGAGGGCAAGCAGAGTCCGGAGGCCCCTGCCCCAGGCATCTTCTCTCTCCTGGGAGATAAGAACCCACTGCGAGCTGGCCAGCATGGCTCAGTGGTACTGACCAATGAACCAGGAGGTCACGGTTCAATTCCAGGGGTTGTGGGCTCGATCCTCAGTCGGAAACATGCAGGAAGCAGCTGATCAGTGATTCTCTCTCATCACTGATGTTTCTGTATCCCTCTCCCTTCCTCTCTGAAATCAATAAAAATATATTTTTTAAAAAGAACCCACTGTGCCGAAACTGGTTTGGTTCAGTGGATAGAGCATTGGTCTGCGGACTGAAAGGTCACAGGTTCGATTCTGATCAAGGGCATGTACCCTCGTTGCAGGCACATCCCTGGTGGGGGGTGTGTAGGAGGCTGCTGATCGATGTTTCTCTCTCATCGATGTTTCTAGCTCTCTATCCCTATTTCTTCCTCTCTGTAAAAAAAAATCAGTAAAATATATTAAAAAAAAAAAAAAAAAAAAAAAGAACCCACTGTGAGCTGCAATGCCAGCAGAGCCTGGGCCTCACCTCAGCTTCCTCACCAACGATGGCCTGATGCCTCCTAAGCTTCGACTCTGAAACTTTTAACATTTTGATATTGAGGAGGCTCCCAATGTAGGCCACGGAGAAGGGAATGACAAGAGCCAGGCGTGGAGGCATCCAGAGTGTGGTGACACCACCCTCAGAGGGCAAATAACCATTTGAGGAACTTCATGAAGAAACAAGCTGGATCTGGAAATATCCAACAGAATGAAAGCCAGCTGCACAGTGATGCAAACCGATTATATTAATTTTCCAGTCTGCATAACAAATAACCCCAAACTTGTTGTCTTAAACCAACACCCACTAATGTCTCAAAAATAGTAGGTTGGGAGTCTGTGTGGACTCAACTGGGTTCTTCGTGCATGGCCCGGATCAAGATGTTGGTCGAACCTGGCTCTTATCTGAAGAGTCCAGAGAGGAATCCACTTCCAAGTTCATTCAGTTGTTGGCAAAATCCAGGTCCTTGCAGTTGTGGGTCCGAGGCCCCCATTTCCTTGCTGGCTGCCAGCCAAGAGGCCACTCTCCGCTCCCACGGGAGGCCACATGCATTCCTGGTGCTAAGACTTCCACCTTCAACTCCGGCAATGGATTCGCTGTCATGGTTTGAATCCCTCTGACTTTCTCTTCCAATACCATCCAGAGGAAACTCTGCTGTTAACAGGCTCATGATATTAGGTTAGGCTCATCCCGATAGCATCCTTTTGCCATATAACCTGGGAGTAACGCCAAGAAGGGAAGGTCATGGGGGTCGTTTAAAAACCCTACCCCAGTAATGAAGTAAGGATGTCAAAATAGCTTGAGAAAGAAGGGAAAGGGAGGAGGGGGCAAGAGGAACGGTGATGGGGGTAGTCAAAGGCCAAGATGAGTCCTGGGTGGAAAGAAATCCTACCAACACTTACTGATAGTCTCATCAAGACAGATTGTCCTGGAGCTTGTAGCCCTCCAGGGAGTCTGTAAATGGGCCTGGGTCAGTCTGGGGGTCTCCTGATGTTTTCTGAAAGTTTGATAAATATCTATTATGGATTTTTCATGGGGGGGGGTGGAGGAGGGGAGGCAGGAGAAAGTCTATGTCTTTCAGTAGATTATCCCAAGAATCCTTACCCAAAAAGCAATTTTTAAAAATTAACAGCTTTATTGATATATGAGTCATATACCGTACATACACTCATTTAAAAGTGTACAATTCATTCAGTGGTTTTTTATTAAATTGACAGAGTTGTGCCACTATCAGTACCATCAATTTGAGAAAATTTTCATCACCTTCCCTGCAAAATGCATACATATTAGCAGTCATTCCTACTTCCTCCCAAACTTCCAGTCCTAAGCAACCAATCATCTACTTTCTGTTTCTCTGGATTTGCCTATTTGGGGCATTACATGTAAATGGAATCATACACTATGTTGTCTCTTGTGTTTAGCTTCTTTCACTTAGCATAGTGTTTTCAAGGTTCATCCATGTGATAGCATCTATCATTCCTTTTTATGGCTGAATAATATTCCATTGTGTCGATATATCACATAGATACTATCAGTTGATGAACATTTGGATTATTCCTACTTTGGGGTTATTATAAATAATGCTGCTGTGAACATTCTTGTACAAATTAATTTATCATGGGAATATATATTCCTAGTATTGAACTGCTTAGTCATAAGGTAACTTCATTTAAACTTTTAAGGACTACTACATTTTTTTGGAACAGCTGCCTTTTGAGATGCTCTGGAGGCACATTTATTTCAGAGATTAATGGCAAATTAGCAAAAAGGAAGGCCAACTGGCAAGGAATAGTCCCAAGGAAAACCAGGATTTGGTGAAGCAATGGCCTAGGATAGTTCAAGGTTGATGAA